GAATCGATTATTAAATGAGTCATCGATTATTTTAATAATCGATTCATTGTCGATTAATCAATTAATTGGTGCAGCCCTATCCGCGGGTTGCTTTCACAGGTGGGTCTGCCCGGCTCAGGTCCGGATCTGATACTACCTCTGCTCACGGATCAGACCGCCTTCGTGTTTTTTCTGAATGCTCGTTGGAGGACTGAACACGCATCAGACCCGGACTGAGCCGTCTTATGAAACGGGCTTTAAGCTCTGTGTGTGTATGTGTGTGTGTGTGTGTGTGTGTGTGTGTGTGTGTGTTAGATAGAAAGACATCAGTGCAGCTGAAGATTTATTACTGAGGGAATATTAAAAACGACACAGAACAGCAAATTTGTAGCTGGTTAGTTTATAAAGTTTTGAGCTACAGATTCGCTATAATGAGCTGATTTTGTTCGTCTTTTCTTTTTTTTGACACAACYCAGCAGCCAGTGAGCGGCGGAGGATTAATCTACAGATTTTACGGAGGGAAAATTAAAAATGACATGAAACAGAAACTTTGTATAATTATTTTAAAAAATTTAACCACCACAGAATCACTAAAGTGAGCTAAATCAGTTGTTTTGTTTGATACGAGGTGGCAGGCGTCTGTCCCACAATAAGTACGTTGCGGTCCAGTTCAGCTCAGCTGAGTTCTGCTCCACACCTCTTTTGGAATCAAACTGCCGGTTCATTTCTGAACACGTACATGTGAGCGGGACCTGCCCYCCTTCACCTGTGGTCTTATGAATGACTCGGGGAGGATTAAAGCCAGACTGGTCTGTGCGGCGATTGCGCGGATTTGACTTGTGAAAGGGGCTTGTGTGTTCTCAAAGACGTGCGCGTGTGTGTGTTAGTGTGTGTGTTTGTGTAGTATTTCACCTTGGTTTTGTGGCTCTGTTCTGTACTCAGGCCAGATCCGGGTGTGTGCAGCTCCTTGGACACGACGCACAGAAACTCGGCCTGGTCCTCGGTTCCGTAGCTGTACGACGAGCCGATGTTCACCATCTGGACAGGAGCGAGACGCAGGTCCAGAAAGACGCCCAGAGACCAGGGAGAGACAGAGGAGTCGTCAGGGGGGAAATAAGTTTTACAGCAGAGAAAACAAGACGCAGAAAAAAAAACGTGCTAAAAGTGCAGAGAATCAGAACAAAAGCAAGACACGGCTGTTGTGCTCATGCAAGGTTAGGTTTTGGGGGGGTGAAGGGAGGGAAAATAATGAGCAGCGAGCTCGTGTAGCATCATAGAGTTCTGCCTGTAGCTGTGCAGCATGCAGGAGGGAGAAAGACCTGAGAGAGATTTTTACTCTACAGTTTGCATTTAGTTGGGTTATTTATATCTGTGTATAAATAAGGCAGTACATTCTGGTGAACTCTGGACCTCTAATGATGTTACCACAGATGGAGTTTGGTCTAAAACACTCCAACTTCAACAAATCAGTAAAGACACTTGTTTATGACTAGTCAGAAGTCGTGTCACAGATGCACCTCCCACTCACTTTGATTTGTACAGATTCAGTGGGTAAGTCATTTCTGAAGGCCGCTCCTCAGTGAGTGCTACAGAAAACTCTGGACAACACTGTCAGACTTATATCCACACCAGCAGTTCTGCCTCCATCTGATCCAGTCACACGACTGGTGTGACTGGATGAGCGGCATGGAGGTGCTCCGAACACACAGGAGTAATAATTTAGAAATGGTTTATTGTTCCAGTCCTTATCTGAGCTCAAGATCTCAACTACCATAATTTGTCCCCTTTTGCACCTCCCTCTGGAAAGGACCATTTCAACAGGGGTGAGTGCTTTTGTCTCTTTTCTTATTTCTGTTTTCTTGGTCGTTATCTAAGAAAATGAATCCTGTTTAAAAAGCACCACTTTGTGTTTGTCTTGTGTGAAATATATTTTAGAATTAAATAAAAAATGTGAATGACCATAATGAGAACTGCACCACAGCGCCATCATTCTCACTGCTTGGTGTCCTGATTTTCTCTTTCCATTTTTTTTTTTAATATGCGCTTCTCTGTTGTTTAACTTGTTTTGATAAATAACAACATATGTACCGTAATTTATAAAAATGATGTGAAAACTTTCTAAATTGGYAAATATCCATGATAACGAACAGGTGTTGGCCAAATCTGGAGTCAAGCTGGCACTGCTTGGCACAACAGGTGGTTTGTCAACCAGATATGGGCCAGGTCTGCAAMGATGGCACTGTTTCTAAGATGGCATGCCARAACTGGCCCAGTTGTGGGTTGGTTCTTATGGCTTAAGCCCCCTCATGGACCACATCTGGTCCACCAAAGGGTCTTCATTCTTTGTGGTATCTGGTCGAATGTTGTGAGAATTCTGTGGGCCAGTACTGGGCTAGACAAAGTTTGCTTTGTGGGTGTAGAATCAATAGTTTGCCCAACATTTTTTTCCATGAGGCAACCTGTGTTTGGTTCTACATGGTGACGGTAGTCTGAACTAACAATTTCTAACCTTTTTTTCCTAACTTAAAAAAAGGGCGGACCCTTAGTAAACTACTCTTCTTTGGTAACCAACAACTGGTTCGTCTCAGACACACTTCCATATCCTAACTCAGAAGACAGCTSTTTTCTCCTTATGGGGAATGCAGCGCTTGGCTGCAGGATCCAACCCATAAGCTAKAGGGTAGATCTTACAGCCGGAACACGATAACACCAGTCGCATTCCAAAACACGAGCTTTTAAAGCTCCACAAGTAATTTGTTTTGAACCTTCCTGCCGGAAGAGTTTTATTTTGACACCGGGAACCAGAAGTGCTTCATCTCTTTTCCTACGGCTTGACGTGGAGCTGAGTGAGCGAACCTGATGGATTGTCTTACTGACTGGGGGTACCTCCCTGAATACCTGGASAGGTGACTGACCTCATCGTCAAAGGTAAAGCTGGCTGTTAGGATTGCTGTCTGGCTGAGAGACGCCTTGCCTTTCTGTTACCCCACATTTCTTTAAGATAACGTTAGAAATAACTAATCTTACCTTCCTCCTATTCCTTGACTTATCTGCCCTGACAAACCTAAGTTTAAGTACCTGCAAATGTTCTGATTTATTTAACATCTAAAGCCTGATGTTTTGCTGTTTCTAACGTTGTCGTATTAATAATTAATTAAGCTCAGACACATTTTCAATTATTGTTAATCCTTGAACTTTTATTGGAAAAATTWATTGCTCACAATAAAGTTGTCCACTCATAATTTGTTTGATTTATGTCAATAAATGATCTTGTTTGTTGCTTGATCAAATCGAATTCACTGAGTTACGTTCACTTATTMTGTGTGGTTCACTTTTGCACAAAGGAGGTATTTTCCCTAATAAGTTAAGAACCCCTGATAYATCATTTCCTTATAACTTTCATTATAAGAGGTGTAAGTGTCCCTGACACCAACGTGAAACACAGTTAAACTAAGGAGGTCTGTTTGCAGAAAGAAAAAGGCTGGAAAAAATWATTTGAGTTCCAGCTCTTTTTATTTTTGAAAGTTTATTGTCCTGCAGCTGAGGTTCCTGATCAAACAGCTTATTGCTGGATGATACAGAGAACTTTAGTTTGACACTCATTGTGATTTTTTTAATTAAAGGGGGAAACTAATGAAACTGCTGGAAAGCTTATCGCCACTCAAAATGCCCTGAAACACAACTGAAACCACATCAGAAATTTCTACTGTGCTCTTAATATCTGTCAGCAGCTTTTGAAAATGACCTGTACAAACTTCACGAATGCAAAAAAAATACATGAGTTACACTTTTTTTAAAAATATATTTAAAATAAATATGTGACACAGAATAAAATGTATGAAAGTAAGGGGGCCAGTCGTGTTGACTAGTAAACATAAGTTAGTCAGATTAAACTTTTATTTAAAGTGTATCTTACCCCCCTGTGAAAAGATAACTCCGCCCCAAGGCGAAATTTGAAAAATGCATCAAAGTAGGTAGGGGAAGGGGGGGTTAGAGAGCGGAGGTGTGGCCAGGACGAGAGAACATGACAGCTAGTATTAGCATAATTGATGCTACATGGAGAGTGACCACAGCAATGCAGATAGCTGAGCTGTCCGCCTCACACAACAGAAGCGCTGGACAGAGGAGGTGGAGCGCTCCGCGACAGCCTGACAGAAAAAAAAACCATACAGCTGCAGCAGCTCACAAGATCACTAATTTAAATCAGGAATAAAAGTAGTTTACCTGTATAA